CTTTTACCCTGAAGAAAGCAACTCTAGCATCTCTCTCTTCGTTTTTGTGTTTCCGGGCAGCTTCTTTATATTCTTGTCGGGTTGGTACGACCTGCTAGATAGGTAGGTAGTGTGTGTTGGGGGTGGGGGTGTTTGATATGTATGGCATCTGCATGAGCAGTTTTTCTTTGGCAGCTCAAATCTGTGTACAATATATTGCGTTATATACGGTTTATCCCTTCCTCCAACTTCAAGACCCCTTAACGTATTGGCCCCTCTACCCGTACAATATCATTATTAACTTACAACAACCGAAGAACCAACCTTTCTATACAGGATACAAACAGTACCCAAGGACAGCCTCAGCCCCCAATACCATACCCTACACAACCCGCCCTAACCCAACCCAGCCCACCTTCACCACTCACTCGATAACTGTACACTACCCCGATCCAGGCACAGCACCATTTTTACAAACAGGCGGCGGAAACCACGGGTCGACATGCATCGGCGGCAGCGCCCCGGCCACGCGCTCCGCCTTGACAAAGATGGGGATCACGCCGCCGGTTTCAAGCGCGAACGCCCGATGACCCGTAATCTGGAGCATACTGGTGATGGCGCCGGAGTGTGCGGTCAGCGACAAAAAAGTGTTGCCGTCGTGGCTGAAGATGTCCTGGAACAGGTCGCGGAAGCGCTTGTCGCGCGCCGAGTCGGACTCGCGCAGGCGGGCGTCGTACAGGGGGTCGGCCTCGGCGAAGCCCGGCTCAATGCGGTAGAGCGGGTATTCGGCCTCGATGGCGGATTTGGTCGAGCGGCCGTCGCAGGTGTGTTGGCCGATTGTTTCGCGGAGGAGCTTTGGGGCGGGGTGAGTAAGCTGGTGGAGAGGGAAAAGGGGAGGGGTGGGGGCAGGGGGTAGGGGTAGGGTCGGGACGTACCTCTTTGATGAGGGGACGGAAGGGGTCCGTATGGGGGATTCCCAGACCGCTGAAGGTGTGGTTCGCGGTGGCGAGGCACCGGTTCAGTGGACTCACGTAGTAGGATTCCGGGGTGGGGATCTTGTGGGCGAGTTGCGTCTTCCAGGCGGAATGGGCGGTTTGGGCTTGCGAGATGCCGAGCGGGGTGAGGCGGGCGTCGACCCAGGTGCCGTTGTCGTCGCCGTCGAGGAGAGACCAGTAGCACTTGTGGGGGTGTCAGTCAGGGAGAGCTGGGCCTTGGAATGAAGCTGATATGGGGAGTACGTACATCCCACAGCTCGGTACCGTATTTAGCCTCGGCGACGTTGTGATAGCCTTGGCCGTGTCGGCCCAGGAACAGCACCTTGTAGGCGGTGTCGGGCTCAGCATCCCGGTTCAGCGTCCGAACCTGGTGCTCGAAACGCTCCCATTGCGTCTTGTTGCCCTCCGGGTCGAACTCGGGGTCCGAGTCGTAGGGCCGCGGGATCAGGCCGAAGTTGGCGGAGACCTGATTTGTAGCGTTAGCTTCGCCAATTTTGTTGATGGATAAGGGGAGGGCTGTGCATGATTCGATAGTAAAGGGCCATACATAGTCGAAGCTGCCTGCGTCGGTGGTGGGTTCACTTTGCAGGAAATACCCTGGGACAATGGAGAATCGCCAATGCGACTCGGACGGGGTAGACTCGGCCATCAGAAGGAACCCGGCTGTAAGGAGAGTGGCCACGAGGAGGATGGGGCTTTGCAGAGCGTTAGTTTGGAGGCAAAACGAGGCTCTGGTGGTGTATGTGAAGTACCAGATTGAGGAAGAACTTACATGATCAGTGGAATACGAAAGATGGTGCGCAGCATCGACCGGCGACGGGGAGCGAGGAGTTGGCTGTGGTGGTGGTGGTGATGGTCAAGCGGCCAATAGCCGGGCGATGGGTCGCCAATGCGCCGGAAGCGAGCCGGAAAAGCTGCCAATTTTCTCGCCATCCCTTTCTTGGACTCCCGCTGTGGAGATGATCAGTTAGTATGGGGTAGTTTGATCGGTTCAGGAGGAACTTGGTCCAGCTGAGATTTAGTGGGAGAATCTCATCCAAACAACACCAACAAGAAGCACAAAACATGATGTTGTCAGGTTAAGGCGGTTTGCAGACAGCAGGTGCAACCAACCCATGGAACACCTCCGTTTTCCCACGTGGTCCTCCCGAACGGCTGACCACTGCTGACCACAGTCCCTTTATACAAATCTTTACAGCTACAAGCACGGGACAAGGTCAAAATCAAATCACAACAGCAGTAATGCTATTCACCCCCAGCCTAAATTACGAAACCAGCTTTTCCTACCAGTCACCAGACCCGAAAACACAACCCAACATTATACAACATGCAATCAAACAAGTATATGGTATCTTCCGCGCAAACAAAAAACAAAGTTAAATATTGGCGTATCAGATTCTCGATCTCGATCACCAAAAGCCAATGTCCTTGCGGACGAGCCAATATTTCCGCAATGTGGAAACTGCAAGCTTGCCGAAAGAGGAGCCCAACCAGGAAACAACCATGTTCCCAAAGTCGACAAAGCGCGTGAGCGCAGACGGATTCTGTAAGAACACAGAGCCAGTGTATTGGGCGACGGTTGGTAGTTGAGTCACGCTTGGCTGCGTATCCGACGTGCCACGCCTGTTTCTTGATAGCGGGGTGCAGGTTGTGTGGCAGCCACGGTTCACTGGTTGAGTGCTGATATGCGTCTTGTCTCGGGTTTGATCGCAGCCTCCACTGGATACAGCGCCGCGGGAGACCTCGATGGTCAGGCTCTGTCGGGGGTGGGGGCGTAGACCATGGTCGGGGCGTACACCGTGATCGGGGCGTAGCCCCTGGTCTGGGCGTAGGTTGTATAGTTGCAGGTATTGACCGAGACCTGGGGTGCGGATTGCACTGCCATCCGATTGGAAGTGCTTCCTGTTCGACGTTGCAGCCGCCTGGTCGCCGCCGCGGCGGAGCGCTGCTGGCTGCGGAGGTCGATGGACTAGAGAGTCCGGCTGACCTGTAGTCGAAGGGCGCACAGGATGTTGAATTGTTGTCCGCAGAATTTGATCCTTTTGAGTTACAAGGACGCTGGCCTTTGATGGACGGAGCGCATGCGGAAGTTGCACCTGTGAGCGTGCAGTGGCCTGCTCGACTCCGTGGAGTCCGGTTGGTTGTAGCGTGGGCGAAATGTTCGCCTGCTTCCAGCTTGTGTGGCGCTCATTGCCACGTCCATGGACGTGTAGTTGGGTGTTCGTCGCCGACTGGGCCACCGCATGGGTGGAGGAAACAAACGAGCCGTTCGCCAGGCCTCGAGCAGCCGCCTTCTCGAGGCAATTGCACTGCAATCCCATTAGCATAGTGTATGGGACAAATGTGGGCAGTCCATAGGGTGTCAACTTACTCGCTTGTGCTGTTTCCGATGCTTCTCACAGGCTCCGTATTTCCGGACCTTGATGTAGCTCTCCTTCTGAGCTTTCGATCTGGGCTTCTGCTTCTTGGGTACGTTCGTCGTTGTATTCATGTTCAAGTCGAGCACCAGCTCCATGGCTCCACTAGAAGGCGAGGCCTGCGGCGTCGCTACTTGGTCCTTCTCACTCATGTCTGGCGACGAGCCATTGGCGGGGGTTGCACACGAGCCAGTGCTGCTTTTTGCGGAGCCCGACCAACAGGGAGAGGGGAACGTGGTGCTGGAAGTCGATGGGACAAACACGGAAGACGAGGCCTCCTGTAAGCGCTGCAGATGAATAGCGATAGATGCATCTCGTCTCTTCTCCTTGAGCGTGGAACAACCCGAGTCGGCCATGGCTTGAGCCTCAACCATTTGTCGGATGCTCGCGTAGAAGGGGTCTTCAGGGTAGGTTGCTTCTTGGGGCCACGCATCATCGAACGTTAGTCCGGCGAGCTCTTGGTCTGAGAGGGTGGGAAGTGGTTGGATGGCATCATTTGCGCTCAGGCCTATTTGCGGGCTATTTAATGACAGGCCTGGGTACGTCTCGTATGGGCCGTCATAGCTCACGAACTCCGAGAACAGGTTTTCGGGACAAGCCGGGGGAGTGGCACCCCAGTTGCATTCGCCCAAGTCAGGGAATGCCAAGTCGAAGTCTCTCGGCGAGACCGAATCAATCGAGGTCGCATTGCTGTCCAGACAGCCTGAGGGGATATCAAAAGAGTTGTTGAAGTCGAACCACTCCTCATCGGGTGTAGTTTGGCTAATCTGACAGAGCAATTGGTCTGCGGACATAATGGCTGGATGAACGAGGGGTATAAGGGTATCAATGAGTATATGTCTAGTAGTTTAGAGATGACAGAAGAGCAGACGGATGTAACGGATTGTCTGATAAGCGGATAACACAGACTAAGAAGATGAGTGACTATGACTCACGTCCTTGGCTGTGGATTATGAATCAGGGAGGGGGACACTGTGCTCCCTTGGAGATATAAAAAGACAGGCTGGGACTAAAGGAAGTAGAGGTAAAAGAACGGAGCGAGGAGGAGAAGAAAAGGAAGCCAGGCTGAGGGGTTCGGAGACACGGTCTGTCTTACATAGAGGCTGAGGAACGAGGCTCATCTCGACCCATCCCGCGCCTTGCCTTTTTTGGGACCCCGACCAGAAATCCACTAAGCCGTTTCGAGACCCCGACGGTCGTCGCCCGCCCGCTGGATCATTACTTACCCCGTCTTTCCGGATGCAACCCTTATCGCTCAGGCATCGCCAAGTCCCTTCTTATCCTTTTTCAGCCGTGGATTGTTTTTGCTGTTTGTAGAATACCAGCGAAAGAGCATGACTTGAATAGAATCCCTCAATGGTAAAAGGCTTGATGCTAGCCTTCACATTCGGTTTTCCTGATTGTTCTGCATCACACCTAAGCACAACCCTTGAATATGATTGATCTCAGACCTCGTTGGGATGGTTGTACCCCGCATTAAATATATACTTTCTAAGCATTCAAATTTGAAAGACCAATTTAGCCTAATGACATCATGTTGCAACAGAAATAAATCCCTATTTAGAACTGCTGAGCTACAAGACATACCCATACAAAGCTTCGATGTTTAAGCGGCTTAGGTGGAGACGATGGAACATGTAGATCATTTGCTATACAATACATGCGATATGCCTAAGAACCCCAAACTCCATCCGAGGTATCCAATATGGTGAAACAAGCTCTACTCATGATTTTCGCTTTTCGTGGTGGTCCTATTTCAGCACGCCCGTAACATCTCCAACATGCCTTTGGTCTGACAAGCTTGGTGCGCCATCTCAACCTCCTCACGCACCTTTCGGTGCAGCCTCTCCACCATCTTGTCGATCTGGGCGGACTGGCCCAAGTTGCCCGAATAGATATCCAGAACGTTCATGGCCACCTCGACGCAGAGGTTTACCAGTCGTGGTTCAGTGAGGTTCTTCTGTACCCATGCAAGCACCGGCTGCAGTGTTACTTCGTCGCGGTTCTGCAAGGCGGCACGCAGGGCAGAGCGATGGCGCAGCGCCGTGAAAAGTGTGAGCTGGGCCGTCTTGTCGCTGGAGCTGAGTACATGGTCCAAAGCCGCCGAATAGCGGCCCTTGCGCAGATCGTGCTCCCAAGTCTGCTCCCTCTTGCGCTTGCCAGTATCGCGTCCCTCGATCACAACATCCACACCCTCACCAATAAAGTCCCGACCACGGAGACGCTTCTCCCAGCCCGCGCCGCGCTTCTGTTTGGCAACTTTCCGGTCGTGCTCCTCCAGTTTGCCCTCCAAGAGCGCCTGCATCTCCTTCCGACGCTCCTTCTCCTTGATCTTCTGCTGTCCCGACAGCCGGGTCTTGATCGACAAGAGACCGGACGCCATACCGACGGCAATGTGCTTGTCCTCCTGGGCAACGCCGGATTGGATGACACTCAGCGAGAGAATCGGGGACGGGTACTTGGACCCAGACACGACGTTCCATCCCGTCGTCTCGAAGACCTTCATGTGACCGTCCAACGCACCGGAGAGCAACCGCTCTCCGTTCGAGGCCAGCGCCAACGACGTAACCGTCTTCTGGTGACTCTGAATCATGTGCAGGGGTTTGCCGGCCACGATGTCGAGGACGGCGATCTTGTTATCGGCAGCGGCGAGCACGGTCGTCCCCGTCGGCATGGGCAGCACGCTTTCGATCGGGGCGGTCATCTTGAACGTCATGGCAGCGCGGGTGTCCACGCGGGGATCCCAGAGACGCACCGTACGATCGTAACTACCGGAGACCAGAAGGCCCGACGAGGCCAACGATCCGGGCATAAAGGCGCCGCTGCGCACGTAATCCGTATGGCCCACGAAGCTGCGGGCGCTGTTCTGGCTGGGCAGATCCCACATGCGCACGGTGCGGTCATCGCTGGCCGTGAACAGCGCCGTCGGGTCGCTGGGCGAGAATTTGGCCACCCAGACCGGCTGCTTGTGTTCCTTCCACGTCTTGAGAATCGCCCGCGATGCCACGTCGAAGACCTGCACCGTGCCGGAATCGTCACCCACGGCGACCACACGACCATCTGGGCGCACGTCGGTGCCTCGTGCCGTGTCGTCGAAGCGAGTGATTGTGCGGAGGAGTTTACGGGTGCGGATGGAGTAGATTTGGACGCGGGCGCCCGTGGTCACGGTGAAGACATCGGGCGGCTGGGTGAGAGAGGGAAAGGCGGAGGCGGAGGAAGGGGCGGAGGGCTGTGTGATGAGGTTGATGGGCCCGTTGGCTGGCGAAGGAATGAGGAGGGGATTCTTGAAGGTCTTCCAATATTGTTGCTCCGGTGTCAGGCGAGTGGAAGGCAGCGATGGCAGCTTCACCTGCTGCAGGGGGAGGACGGGGGCAGCCATGGCTGCTGGTCGTCGGTCGGGATGTGAACGATGAGCGGGTTAATCGATGCTTGGGGTGCTCAGCGCGAGATTGGTCAAATGCGCGGGGTTGGGCTCGTCGAGAGCGCTTTATTGGGCTGGACTGGTAGATTTTGGATGTTCATGGGAAACTTTTTTTTTGAGATAAAATCCATTCGCATCGGGAAAAGTCTGGCCGCGTTGCCTGATTCGGAATAATGCAGTGTGCATATCTCTGCTGACTGATTAGTGAAATTTATGCAGCTGGCTTACATTTCTTTTCCAAGTGTTCAAAGTCAATTAATGACAAACAATATCTTCCTTCAAAATGGTTGAGCTCTCAAGGTAAAATAAATTGGTGAGATTAAACAGTAGGACTAACCAGGCAGATGGGTTGATGCTCAACGTATTTGCGGGTCGTTCATCAACCTTGTCTAGCCTTGCTAATATGTAGTATACAGCTATTGTAGTATGCCCATGCTACGGAGCTATTTGAATAGACAAGACCGTCTCCTGTTCATCTTTCCAACAAATCTCCAGATCTGCTAACTTCATACACAAATACTGGATTGACGGAGAGACTTAGTCTTGAACCTACAGACTCAAGGAAAGCGTGACACTGAGTGGCATACATAAAGGACATCACAAGGCTCAAAATAACCGTCCTAGGTATTCTCGCAAGTGGTATAGTTGGATGTGTTATAGGTATCACCACTTCGTGGAGACCAAAGTTATAGCGAACTCATCATCTATGGGACAGTATTTCTGCCTTGTATCTGCCTCAGGAATATATTTCCGCATGGAACTCCAGGCTCTAGATCATTTCAGAGAGCAGAGTGAGAATATTAACTCCAACCTAATTTGAAACCAGCTTCCGTAGTTGTACGTCGAATGCTTCGCAACTGGTACCTAGGGACCAAGACAACACAACTTGGCTGTAGCTTCGCTGGGAGTTATAGTGCCTCCCGAGCAAATAAACATTTGCCTGTTGCGTCTCAGTCCTTGAATTGGTACAGTACTCCGTAGTACCACCAAGTCCTACTTTCAATTACTGATCATGTATCACGAGGACAAACTTTCTGCACTGCATTCGCATGCGAGGCTTGCTTGTTGAAAACATTCCACAGCAGTTTACCCCCGCGCCGTGTCCCCAATTCTGCGGCAAGAATCAAGGGCGGATTGTGGGATAATTGTCCACACGCGATCTGCTGGTGTACCCTACGCATTCCTCCCACAAATCGCCCTTGACGCGATTAGAGTCAGGCCAATTGATCTGATCGAGTCTATTCTCTAACTTCGGCAAGTGTTCATTCCTGGGGCTGGATGTTTTTCGTTTTGCTTAGCTGTGATCTACTGACTAACTTTGGGGGCATGACCAGACCACCATAGAAAGAGATCATGTCGCTATGCGTTACATCAAACTAAGCAATTGAAGTTCGAGTCAGCAGTCCATGGCCACTCGAGTCCAACAGAGACTAGGTAATGATCGTGCTCAGCATGAAGATACACGTTTCACAACAGACCCCCAACCGCTTTTCCGCTCGAGCTCAGGGCCTATTGCTGGTCTTTCCCGCGGTTGAGTTGAGCTTATCTATCACCAAGCATGCAGGACGTACCGTACAAGAGCACTTGCATGCCACATCACCTCCGGAACAACGACCCGTACCGAAAATCCCCGAAAGAATATCGCAGGTGGTTGGTGAATGTGACAGGTCGAGACCGATCCGTCTCTAGACCTCGAGTAGCTATCCCGTCCCTTGATAATGGGTTCCCTGTGCATTTTTCTGGGCGCAGAGTGATCTATCGTGCAGAACCCATGCGTGCTGCATGACCGTGCCAGCTTCCCGCTCAATTCAGAGTCGCAGTCTCAGATACTACTTGCCGTGCATGGAATCTTGTTTTTGGCTTGAGTCAAGCTGATACTCTGTCGGAACTGATACTCTGTCGGAACAAACGGGGCCTACCGGGCGCTTGTAATGACTTAATCCTTGCTTGCATAGTCACAGACGATTGGTACGGCCGAATCGGTGCCTGAATGCCGACAGCGTCAGGTACCCGACGACTCCACTCGACAGCCACAGACCGGATCAAGCCACAGCGCTTCCCCACAGCCGATCCTGTCCCTCGGAATGTTCAGCAGCATACTTCGTCACTGACTTACCACCTGCGAAGTAACCACTCCCCACGTGGACTGATATTTCCGATCGATCTAGAACCAGGATGGTGGTTAGTGTGACGACTGATTGATGGACAGGGGAGGGGCACTTGGACAGATCACCGGGTGCATATGAGATCTCCCTTGCCTCCCAATCTCACAACTAATCGGAGATGGTGCCCGTCTTGCGGGAAGTGGTTGATTGACTTATCCACAGTATGACATCAGGCTGGAGCCGTGGCCGACTCTGCTCAGACCTCACTGAGATCCAAACTCCATGTAAACAAACACACAGTGGCTTTGACAGGCAGCAGGATTTGCTCGGCAGCTCAGCCCACAAACACTACGTAGTTTAGTTGCTCGACAAGGTTGAATTTTAGTTTCAGCGCCCGGAAAATATGACGATGATCGAAATCAACTGGGGCTGACGTATGTACATGCAGTACAAGGTACTCCGTACAGAGGACGGAGAAATATTACTGTACATGGCGCGGCGACAGATAGACACCAGCGCAGTATGCACCGAGCACTGCACGGTACATAACTCCTGCTACTTGTAAAGTGTGTATACTATACACGATACTTCAATTCTAGATGCATCTCCCAAGCATGCCTATACGTATATACTGTGTACAGGATACGGTTGGGGCAGGTCGGAGCCGAGGGCCCAGGTCGTGGCTTCCCTATGCGGAAGTTCAAGGTGGCTGGGAATTACCAGATACCAGCTGTGACGCACGCCAGAATTACGGGCCATGGGTGAGCGATGGGCGGGAAGGTATTTTACCGTAACCTGTTCAAAAAACCAAGAAGCGGGTGGGACTTGCCGCCACTGGTCGCCAATCAACAAGCGGAGAAGCATGCCCCAGCCTTCAGCCCCTTGCTCCCAGCCACCTGACTTTGCACCCGCCCCACCACTGTCATCCAATGACTGCATGCACTCTTATCGATAGCAGGGACTACGACTCAAAGAATAACATCATTCATCCACTCAGCTGCACTCGACTTTCATTCCGCTGCCTCTGACTCTCTCTCTCTCTCTCATTCCCACCCACCCACCATCCAACCAACCATCCATCCATCCAGTATTGTTTGTATGTCTCTCTCTTCCTCTCTCCCTTCCTTCTTTCATTCTATCCATTCTATCCTTGCAACCACTCATTCTCCAGTTTTGCTGACTAGTAAAATCCAAGCTTTGATACTCTCCACTGTGATACATTCGTTCTGCTATACCTAGTGCTTGTCCCCACTCTCGTTACTCGACATCCTCTCGCTTCTTTTGTTACGCTCATCTTCAACCAAACTTTCTCGTCTCTCGCTTGCTCTCCATAGTTTGACCTATTCCTCCTCACTATCTTACCCAGCCATGGACGCCAGGCCATCTAGAAGGGCCATGGCTCATGCTGCTGGCATCTTCGCAGACATGTCTGTCGACGGTCCTGCTATTGGGACACTGGTGATCATTGTTGATCGCGCCAAAAATCTGCCTAATCGAAAGACGATGGGCAAGCAAAACCCCTATTGTGCCGCTCGTTTGGGTAAAGAAGCCAAGAAGACAGAGACGGATCTTCGCGGTGGTCAAACTCCTCGATGGTAGGCTCTTCCTCTTCAACAATACTAAGCACATTGCTGACAGCTAGCAGGGATCAGGAGCTTCGCTTCACCGTTCATGAGTCTCCGGACTACTTCAAACTTAAGGTTTCCGTTTTCAACGACGACAAGAAGACCGATCTGATCGGCGAAACCTGGATCGATCTCAAAGATTTGATCATCCCTGGTGGAAGTCAGAACGACCACTGGCACCCTCTGCAACATCGTGGAAAGTACGCAGGGGAAGTGCGTCTTGAGATGACTTATTACGATACACGGCCTGAGGATGAGGCTGTCATCGAACGCCGAACCATGGGGACTGAAAAGGTTCACACTAGGAAGAGTGTGCCGTCAGCACCACAACTCAGTCTCACTGCGGCTTCGTCTTCTTCCTCCGCTCTTTCGGGGCCTAGACAGTTGAAGGATGTCAAGAGACGTCCCCTGCCCAGCGATCCAACTAGAGCACGCCCTTCTCAGCCTGAGAAGGTGCCATCAGCTCCACTACCACAGGCCTCTGCTCGACCAGCATACCACGAGCCCTCTCAGTCAGCTCCCGCCGTTGCAAGTCATGCACGGCCAACTCACCTTCACGGGCATCCTGACTGGACGTACGAGTATCCTACTTACGTCCACAAGTGGACGGCACCACCAGATAACTTCGAAAATAGCCGGCAGGGGCAAAGTTTGACGGGCTCCAAAACCCCCCTTTCTCCACCAACTGTACACGAGAGTCCAGCCGCTATCGGCAATCCTCTATATTACCCTCCTCAAGCAATCGAGGAGAACGCATGTCCGCAGAGGGACAAAAATAACTATCCATTCTCTTCTTGTGAACAATATGTGAGCACGACGAGCACCTCCGATGGTGGAAGTACGGTCTATCCCTGCTCTCACCACAGTCTTTTTTCGAGCGAGCCAAGCACGGTATATCCTTATCCACACAACTACTCTGATAGCGGGTCTTATGTCAGTGGTAGCGGCAGCAGCCAACCCGCTGCTCAACATCTAGAATACACTTCGCAGGGCGGCTCTTCTGACCTCTATTGCGAGTCTATTGATAGTACACCAAGTATGGTGTACTATGGAAAGTCAATTAGTGAGGGGGGGCGTCCTATCCCCGATATTGTGTGGGCAAGATTGCAGCCTCGGGTCGAGGATGAAAATGACGAGAACAATCTCCCACCGCCGCCACCGGCCCATCGAGTTGCTTTGGTCCACGTCAGAAACATAAGGCCTCCCTCACTTGTCTCCACCGAATCTGCATCATCTGGACACTATCCTGTGTCTGATGGCCTTCCTTCTAATTACACCTCGGTCACAACTGCGGTTGACAGCAGCATGCCGAGTGTGCGTTCTTCCTTGAGTGGACCCTCAGTGCCACCCAGTCTTGTTGCTGGCCTCGACCCAGTCATTGCCGACGCAGAGTCGGATCGTGCCACTTATGAAAGGGAAGCAAGACGAAGAAGTGGCATCATAGAAGAGAATCCGTTGAGGAAGCCCCCACGTGAATCTTCACCGAGCCCTCCTTACCCCATGGATTCGTCCTTGGATAGTCACAGCTCTATCGTGACTCGATCGTCTGTCAGCTCCAACTCTGATAGACAATTGGTTCCCCGTCGCAAATCTGTCAGCCCTCGACCTCCAAGTATGAGGGAGCGCGGGGTGTCTCCCACTCCTTTCTCACCAGATTCCTATGATGCTTTGAACCCTAACGCATCTATGGGTCCCATAATTGGAGACGATGGTCGTGAGATCGACCCGTCTGATCACCTTCCTACGGACACCTGGGCACCTGAGCCCGAACGCAAGACGAAGAAGCCTGGCGTCGTTGTGCGTTTTCGCAACCCTGCTCATCGGGCTAACCCTCTCGCACGACCAACCACCGATGGCACAGTCGAACGTGCTGCTCATCGGGCTAATCCCCTCGCACGACCAACCACCGATGGCACAGTCGAACGTGGCTTTGGCATTCGACGTCCGCCGGCATACACGGATGGAGCCCCCAACATGGGTCCACCTATTCCTTCAAAGGTTCCTATCGCACAGGCGATGAATCAGAGCTACCCTGTCCTTGGCGGCAGTATGGGCATGGACGCCCTTAGTCGAGAATTGAACACTATTGATATCGGATCTGTGGGTTGCAGCGGCGGCGGCGGCCGCAGCTTGAAGAAATACGCACCCAAGACCATGGGATATGCAGTTTAGATAGATCTTCTCTTATTACAACTTCTTGATGTTAGTTAGTTGGGGAGTCAGTTTGTTACTTAGTTAGTCACTTAGTTAGCTACCTGCGGGATACATCATTGGGGCATGTGTTTTTTCGGGATTCGGCTAGGGAACTGGGAACTGGGGACTCTGGATTTTGGAGTTAGGAGTTGTTTATTCTTCCTTTGTTTAGCATAGATTCATCTTTCCAATCGAAGGAAATAGATTTGATCCAATTCATTGTGCAGATCCATGCCTAGGAACGTTGGGTATTGTGAATAAGAATAAACTCCAGGGCCCTTCAGCCATTTAAGTGTGTATGTTGGAAGTGAAGTAACAGGCTTGCACACTACAGTGGGTTGAAGTGAAGGGGATAATAGCTTAGTGTGTAAATCATAGACTCGCCCTTGCCTTCCTGGATGACTTCCTCCCCGGTTTCCTCGTACCTACCAGGAGCAATTATCGCTCTTTACCCAGGTGCTTCTCTGTCTTCCCTCCAAAGCAAGCTCCAAAATATCACTCCAATTGTTGCTGACAACTATCACCCAGCATTGCTAGATTAAATCACACATGGTTGAGAAGATCTTCATATTCGCTCCCTTCCATCTTAAGAACCGTCAATAGCGGAGCCTATTGATAGTGGACCTAGTATGGCCTAAAAGTGGCCGTCCAATTCCGCCTTTACAAGGTCCATCTGTACACGCTGCACGATAAGCAGCCCAACACTTTGAATAAGTAACGTCGAAGCTTACGGGAAAGCTAGGAACAAATCTAACAACAAAGCCTCGACAGATTCGAAAGACCTTTTACCCTCCAAAGCGCCGAAAGATTGCTCGATAAGGCAGATCATCAAGATACTAACCCTCCAACTCGTCGATTTCTTCCAACTTAGAGGGTTGAAATCTTCCGGCTATCGGTCATACCAGACTGGAAGTATGAGACCTCTCATTCCAAAAATGAACATCACCTCCAGACAGCATCGGCGTGAGCCGTCAGGAGAACATGTTGACCGGCTCAAATAAATCGATCCATTTACAAGTGCGCAATAAAAGTCAAGGCCGTCAATGATGATAATTCTTGGTAAGTAGGCTCGAAGGATGGCAGAAGCCAGACACAACGCTAATAACAAAGCCTCGATAGGATTGAAAGGCTATCTACCCTCCACGGGGCAGAGAGATTTGATTGTTCGACAAGGCGAATCATTAGGGAAGACAACTTTCTCAGTGGTCGGTCTCTTTCGACTTCGAGGCTTGAAACCTTCCGGCTATCGGTCAATCCAGAATGGGTGCATGAGGACCTGCTCATGTCCAAAATGAACTTCACCTTCAAAGACAATTGAAATCTGCCATGAAGAGCCCACCTTGAGTCACACAATAAATCATCGAATTCTTGCAAATTCAAGCCTTGGAAGATCTCGGCTTTCGGTTAATCTAGATTATACCTACGAGTACCCTGTTTCGAGTGTAGAAATGAAGCTCTCTGCCACAGAATATCTCCGGATTACTTCTCTCCACATAGCATCTCCAGATTCTGACTTACTGGGTATAGTCTTTAACAGCAAATTCTGGATGGGAGACACGGATTTCGAAGTGGGAAGGGAAGGGGATCTGGAGGACACTTTATCAAGATGCGCGTGGGTTGGTGGATAGAGTCTTCGGCTCAGAGGTTGGGGCTGCATTTTCAACATTGCATGGTTCTCATGATCAAGTAGATATACTTCGAATCTTTGGTAGGAGCGTGAAGACGAATGGACAACCGCCTACAATGGTGTATTGTATCTATCATGGGTGCGACGCTCACCTTGAGGGCGGCCGACTAATCCGGGGCGGCAGCCTCAGGCAACTGCATTGTGCCTTCCGTGCCCTCCCACCATCTCAGTTCGTTTTCCTCATTCTCCACAACACCAAGAAATGAAACAGAACTCCTTCCTTATAACCACCTTGAGCAGCTTCAAAACCACCGATGGGCTATTAGATCTAGCCTTTCAGGCTCTGGGACACATACCACTTCCTAATCCAATTATTTTGGAGCGATTCAGATGCTTATCTAATCGGGAAATCAAAGCCCGATGCCACCAACCACGCCAGCGTGTATCCTCGATTTTCCAAACATTCTGCTCAAGGCATCTTATTCTGCACCTGAGAAGCCTCATGAAGTTGATTCAACAACTGGAAAGCATGTGATCACGAACCGCTAACAAGCGCAACACATAGTGCGATCCTCTACGAGCCTCCCCACTCTCAGCAATTTAGTTAAGCACGAGTTAGCAGGGGCTGAGTAACGAAACTCTGAACAGCAGTCTCGGAGAACTTAGGGCTAAGCAGCCAAGCCTCATTTGGGAGAATCAATAAGTCCTCTTGGCACCATTGGCGATGAGGAATCTTGTCGAGTCGGGCACTACCGAGGAGCCCACTTGTGGAGACCCGCAATTCTGGGCTGGAATGTTCGCCGCCGTGATGACATTGCCGATCTTCAATCACCCACAATGGCGATGTGTCTATCGCCCTACTGGCTCAGTCTTCAAGAATGATAAGTAGAATGCAGACCGGTCCGGTTTATATCGATGGAAAAACCCGCCATCGGTAGCGTTATCTTCACGGAGCTAAATCTCTGCTGCCTAGGGGGAGCACACGTTCAAGCGGGGAATAGTGGGGACTGCCGAGCAAATACACTCGTGGATGCTGACGACTACTACTTACTAGACGATGCTTTCTACGCGCCAGTGCCGGAATAATTCCAGGAGACCGGTCGATGATTGGGAGCTGATTAGAGTTGCTGAGAAAGAAGGCTTATTTAGATCGATCGCCAGTTTTCCTGGCTCGAGAATTTCCTTCCGAGATGTTGTCGCTTCTGCTGGAGTCTGATGCCTTAAGCTGGGGATTGTTGCTCTACAAACTTGTCCTGGACGCTTGAAATTCTCAGACTATGAGGAATCTGCGGTCTGCTCCCGCTTGGCTGGGATGCTTGCTTATTGTCTTTGCGATTGTCCACGTCACGCACGCCATAGACATTGAAGTTAGCAGTGAGCGTATGTTTTCTTTCCTTACTTAGTCAATTCGCTTGAATTGCTTGTTTTGTTCTCGAAATTCCCACAAGCAGGTTGCTGATCACTACAAATTCTGCAGAATCCATTAAAGATGCCGCCAGCACCGCTGCGTACGGGTTGATGTCCTACTATCATGGCAACGAGTCAGGTCACATACCGGGGAAGCTGGATGATACGTGGTGGGAGGGGGGCGCGATGTTCATGGCTCTCATTCTGTATTACCACTATACCAGTGACAGCACATACAACAAGGAGGTGATTCAAGGAATGCAGTGGCAAGCAGGAGATTGCGATTACATGCCGTCCAACTATAGTAGCTGGCTGGTAAGAAGCTTTGCTCTTCTTCCTCGACAACCCCGCTCAATCAGCTCAATCTGACAACACCCAGGGAAACGATGATCAGATGTTCTGGGGTCTGGCGGCGATGACGGCGGCGGAGCTCAACTTTCCCAACTCGGACGATGGATATTCGTGGCTGGCGCTGGCGCAGGGAGTGTTCAACACCCAAGTCGCGCGGTGGGATACTACCTCGTGCAACGGTGGGATGCGGTGGCAGATGTGGACCTACGAAAGTGGGTATACGATGAAGAACACGATCTCGAACGCGGGTTTATTCCAGCTTTCGGCGCGGCTTGCCCGCTACACCAGCAACCAGACGTACTACGAATGGGCGGAGAAGATCTGGGACTGGTCCGCGTCGACGCCGCTGCTCAGCAACTCGACCTGGAACGTTGCCGATTCCACGGAGACGACTAACGATTGCAGCACCCAGGGCGACAACCAGTGGACGTACAACTACGGGGCTTTTCTGGGGGGCGCGGCATACATGTACAACTACACCAACGGCACCAGCCGCAGTAAGTGGCAGACGGCTGTCAACGGCCTGCTGAATGTGACGTTCGACACCTTCTTCCCGACCAAGTACGGCGGTAACGTCATGTCGGAGATCACCTGCGAGCCCACCGAGGTGTGCAACCGCGACGAGATCATCTTCAAGGGCCTCCTGTCCAACTGGCTCGCCTTCACAGCCATGCTCGTGCCCTCGACCTACAGCCGCATCTTGCCCAAGCTGCAGGGCTCCGCCGAGGGCGCCGCCGCGTCCTGCACAGGCTACTCCAACAGCTCCTGCGGCGTCCGCTGGAACTCCACCTGGGACGGCTGGTCCGGCCTCGAAGAGCAGATGAGTGTTGTCAACGTCTTCGTCGCCTCCCTCCTGCCCTATATCAGCTCCTCCGCCACCCCGCGCACCGCCTCCACCGGCGGTAACAGCACCAGTGACCCCTCCGCCGGCACCTCCGACGATACCAACGACGAGGAGACCCTCAGCACTATTACGACGGGCGACCGCGTCGGCGCCGCCTTTGTGACGGTTATTCTCGTCGCCATGTCGGTGGGGAGTCTGGTGTGGATGATCATGCTGTGACGTGCGAATGCAAGTTGGTGGTAGTGAGCTAGAATGATACCCAGTCTTAAGTGTTTAGTATTGAATTGAATTGTTCTTCAAGCGAAGCGTCCTGAGAATGCATACCTGCGTGGCCAACGGATTCTTTTTATATCTGTCCGATGACCCGGCAACCTTTACTGGCCTCTCCGAGAACGTAAAGTTTCCACAGTAGGGCTTGAAATGCTGATTTACTCAGCATTATTATGATTTGCACGCAATATAGTCCGTACCAAGCTCTCAGTCAGCACATACAACCACAGGGTGTGGAAAATAGGGATTAGAGTGGCTAACGGCCAGGTCAGGTCAGGTTAATTAGAATTTTTATATCTAACTGCCAGGTTATAACCAGGTTAAGAAAATTTTTATATCTAACTGCGGTATAGCTAAAAATTGGGTGGTTAACTGTTTTAACTGTTTTTAGTACTAAGCCTTATCTGCTATATCTCTTTTAGCTTTAATACAGTTAAGATATATTTAGATTAACAGATTATTAATCTGACTATCTTAACTATTGCCTAAAAACATATAAAAAAAAGCTTTTTAAATTAATTAAAAGTAACTAAGTAAAGTATTACTATCTTTTTTATCTTTATTTTTAAAAAATAATAAGGAATTTCTGGTAGTGCTGATAAATTCCAGCTTTTTATAAAATTATTACTTTTACAGTAAGAAATATATATAAAAATATATAATTACAGTACTGTTTGGGCT